GCCGAGAGCTGAGACCACGGCGGCTCGAACCAGCCCCGGGACCCGTCGCGGGGTCCGAGCGAAAAAACCATGGTTCCGAGCCGCGTCCAGCCGTGGCGTCGCTCTGCGCTGGCTCGGGGCCCACCAGAGAAGGGGGGGGGCTTTGTCGGCGCAGCGAGCCGCGTCCAGCCGTGGCGGCACTCTGCGATGGCTCGGGGTCCACCAGAAAAGGGGGGGGGTCGTCGGTGCCCCGAGCTGCCGCGAACGGGTGCCCCCCCGCGTGCCCCACCAGTCGGCAGCCATCGGGAGCAGCTGGCGGCCGGGGGGCATCTGCTTTGGGCGGCTCGGTGCCAAGACTGTCAATACTGCATCCAATGTTTCTCCTTCGCCGCCAGCGTTGCTCGCCATGGCAGGCCTGTTTTACAGTTTCGCCGTCCTCACGAGCGGGGCGTGACGCTTTGAGGCGTCCGATCGGACCTTTGCTTTGCTTTGGTGCCCAGACCGATCGAGCTCCCCCCCGGGCCCCCCCCCACCCCATGCGGGAGCCCGCACGGCCCCAGGGCCCGCTGCCGGGCGACAAAACGCCCGGGGCGGCGCCTGGTGGCGACGGAGGGCCCCCCCGAGGGCGAGCTACAGTCATCGCCCTGGCCTAAGGAACGATAAATCAGGAACGAAGCCCCTTTTCTCCAGGGAATAACGCATGAGGAACGATAAATAAAACATAATGCAGAAGGAACGATCAATGGAACGACCGAGCCCCTTTTGAAAAGTAAGCGTTCCGTATTCAAGCCGCTCACTGTAAGGTTATCCAAACTCGCCCTCTTCGGAAAGACGGTCGGTGCCCCAGGCGGTGGACGGTGGGCACGGGGAGGCAACTCCCGGGAAGTTTCGGCCAAGCGCTGAAGGGCAACGGCGCACGATTGCGGGGCCGCTCCGACGGATTCACCGCATGAAGCTGGGATTCATCCGGACTGAACGAAACGAAGCTGGATTGGCCAGGATTGAATAAGATCACGCGGGATTAAACCGCACTCGGCCAATTTTCGACCACTGATATACCAATGCGCCAATGACAAATTCTGACCTCATCCTAAGGTTTGCACGCCCGAAGTGGGTACGGTAAAAATTGGTACGATGCTCACCAGCACATGATGATGTCCAAGATGGGCAGGCGGAATTGCCCCAGCTGGACACCGTCCGCGGCGACGCCGACAACGATCCCTTTCTAAAATGGGCAGGGAATACTGTCGGTCTTCGTACCTAATCTCGACCGCACCGAGTTCCGAATTCAACCTCCGGGTCTTTCGGTGGCAACTCGTGGGGGCCTGTCGTCTAACGACTCTAGCACCGCAACTCCAAGGACCGCTCCCAGTGCGCCTTCTGACCAGAATTCCGAGGCGAATCAGGCGGTGGCGACGAGGGCATCGCAGGAAGCCTAAGAAGAGGAACACGAGGGACTGGTAGCGGTATGGCTACCTCCTCTAAAAGAAAAAGTAATATAAACTTAAACTTTTGGCGCTCCGCGCGGACTTGGATCTACGCTGGACCCCTCTCCCTGGCGCTCCAACCTCACTTCCCCCAGGCGCGCCGCCGAGTTCAATTTTCGGGTTACTCAGATCTGCGGGGGCCGTTCGGGACGATCCAGGCACTCCCGGCACGCCCTCGGCGAGGCGCAGCCGCTGGAACGCATCTCGAGGCCGAAACACCGCCGAGAACCGAAGAGAGCGTCAGGAACACCTCGCACCCCGAACCTCGAACCTCGAACCTCGAATCTCGAACCTCGAGTCTCGAAAACTTCCCGCTGGGTGCGCCGCCGAACGACGGCGGCGCCCACAGAGGGCGGAGCGCCCGCCTGCGTGGCTGGCCCGCGCAGCATGGCCACGAGCCTCGGCACCGCGCCGCCGCACCGCGCCGCCGTCTGCGGCGCCCCCGCCTCGCGGGAGGGGCGCGGAGGCGACGACGGCCGTCGCGGCAGCAAAAGCCGAGTCCGAGCACGCAGGAGACCGTTTCGTGCAATCGGCGGTAACCTGGATTATCCGAGGGGGGGGGAGGAGGGGGCCGGCCGATGACCTAACCTCCGCGCTGCGGGCAACCCTGCATGTGCCCGCGACGCCCCGCCCCAGACCTGCACAACCGGCAAGGTTATCCGGGGGGGGTGGTGGAAGGGGGAGCAAGCCTGATATCCCGGGTTATCGCCTGACCATTAGAAAAACAATCTCCAAGCAACCGTTCTCGCATGGCGCTCCGAGATCGGGGGAACCCCCGTGAGCCCGCACTCAAAAGGTCACGCCGGCGAAGGGTCACTCTCTCGTGCAGCCGAGCCAAGGAGAGGAGGGAGGCTGGACAGGTGCCGACATCCAACGTCTCTAGGGCTCTGGTGGGAATCCCATAGCACCCAGCAGGGGCGCAGGGAGGGGCACAACACCCACGCGCCCCCCTGCGTTGCGCGCGTTCGTGCACCACCAGCGTGGCGACCTTCGGTGTCGCTCCCCCCCCCACCCGGTTTGCGTTGCGATCCCCTTGGGTGGCCACATGCGAACCCTACCCCCACCAACCATTGATTCTCCTCAATCGGTGAGAGGCTGGGGTAGGGTTCGGATGTCGCCACGTGTTCGACGCATGCCGAACCCTACCCCCCCCGCCCATCGAGTCGCCAGAACCGTTGATCGGCGAGGGTATAGGGTTCGGATTTCGCCGCCGCGCGGAGGATCACGAGCGGCGACCATGTCCGTATCTGCGCCCTCGCGGTCTGTACTCCAGGAAGCGAGCCCGCGGATACCTGGTCGCGCAGACACATTCCGCGCGGCGGGGCATCCCCGAAAAAACGCCCCGCATCCGCGGGGTCGCGGCCCAGGGGCCCAACCCGCGAGGCCGCGGATGCGGCATGTTTTGCGCCCACGGGAGGAGTAGGAGGATGAGGAGGAGCAGGCTCGAGGAGGAGAAGGATGGGGAGGGGGAGGGGAAGGGGAGGGGAGGAGGAGGAGAAGGAGGAGGAGGAGGAGGAGGAGGAGGAGGAGGAGGAGGAGGAGGAGGAGGAGGGGGAGGCGGAGGTGGAGGAGGAGGAGGAGGAGGAGAGATCGGCGGCACGCCGTGGGGGAATGCCGAGGGGTCCGGCCTTCTCAAGGGCGGCGGGGCTTCTTCGAAGCCCTCGCGCGCCCTCTGAGAAGCCGTCTGCGCCGACTCCGATCCCACGGACGACTTCCCGGAAGGCCACCCAGGCCTCCAGCATGCCCCTCGGACACCCCGAGAGGCGCCTCAGGGGGCAGCTGGTCCACGACCTTTGCACGGTGGCGGTACGGGCCGAGCACAGACACGCTTCCGACAGCCACGTGTTGAACAATCACAGGGGCTAAGGACACGTGGCTGCTGAGAAGGCCGTCTGCCTGCCCCCCCCTGGCCGCGCCGCGGAGGAGAGAGGCATGATCTTCAGCCTCGTCAGGGGGACGTCACGCGACCACCTCGCCGATGCTGGCCAAGCCATTCCTCGGCTCAGGAACCGTGCCTGCGCCATACGAGGCAACTCATGCGAGGTGTGCTCAAGACCCATGAGACTAATATTAAGCCCGACGAGGGGGCCATTAAGCCAGATTAGCCAAGATTCAGCCCAAAATTGAACCAACTGATGCGGGATTCAGCGAGATCAAGTGGGATTGCGCGGGACTGTGCCCGATTAGGCTGCCCTGCGACCAAGGATGAACCGGCGCTGGTGATGAGTAAAACCACTCAGCACTTGCACCTGCATGCTGCGCCCTCCTGGCTGGCCCAAATGTCCGTGCACACCGATGCCCGGCTCGGGACGGGGCCGGCCAGGATCAGTGATCGGCAGCGCGCCCGGGCGGGGAAGGTGAGCAGGAACAGGCCTGCTCAAAGGCGGCGGGGCGTCTCGGAAGCCCTCTGGCCTCCTGAGCAGTGCCCTGCGTCCTCGGGGAGGGGCCCAGAGCGCTTCTCAGAAGGCCCGAGGCCTTCCGAGCCCTTCCGAGAGGGCCCGCCCCGGCTCATTTCCCCCCCCAGGCTCGCCGCCGACGTGAGGTGGTCGGTGGAGGTCGCTCGACTCGTCGGTCGCCTCCTCTCCCTCCCCTGGAAGGCAAGGCGGCAAACCGCGGCCTCTGCGGGGCCACCCGGGGAGCTCTGGGCTCCCTGCGAGCCGCCGGGCAGAGCGGGCCCCGTGCGTCGGGGGGCCCGCGAACGGAGACTGGGGCCCGGCTCGAGTCGTGGAGACGAAGTGTGTGCGCGCGCGCGTCCTCCCCCCCCTTCCTCCCCCTCCCCCGCTCGTTTCGTCCCTCGTCGTCGTCGTCCCTCCCGTCCTTGCCACTGGGCTCCTCTTGCGTTGGTAAAAAAAGTGCGGCAGGCAGCTGGGGATCTCGAACTCGATACGCAGTACCCCGCGGTTGCGGTTAAGAGTGGAGGGGGCGGCGGGGTAGTTGGCATTCTGCGAGTGCTCTTCAAGCTATGCAGAGATCCCGTCGCAGGCGCCGATTTCTCACTAATTACACAACGCGCCCGCCACAGGCGCGGATTTTTCAGTCAAAGCTATGTGGATGGGTCGCTGGTGGGTCGCCTGGTGGTCGCCGGGTGGGTCGCGGGGTGGGTCGCAGGGCAATTCGCGGGGCGGATCGTAGGCGGGTCGCGGGCGAGGACGACGAGACGACAACAGCAACGCAACAACAACGCAACAACAACGACGACACAACAACACCACCACCACCAACAGCAGCAACAGCAACAGCAACAGCCACAGCAGCAACAACAACAGCAACAACAACGACAACAGCAACACAACTACAACACTAGCAACAGCAATGATAATTACAACACCACCACAAACAACAACAGCACAGCATCAGCAACAACAACCACAACAACTACAACAACAACATAAACAACAACGACAACAACAACAACACCACCACCACCAACAACAACAACAATACCACCACCACCAACAACAACAACAATAACAATATCAACAGCAACAACAGCAACAAACACTCTAAGACTGTTCGCTCTTTCCTGCTCTCGTGCAAATCAACACGTATATCCCAAACCGTCGATACCCGCCCTCTTCGTCTGCGATCGTACCCCCTTTCGGAGTGTATCTGTCCCACCTGCAACGTATGCATTTCGTGCCGCCCGTAGGTAAGGAAAACGAGGACGGATGGAAGGAAGGGACCGAGGGGGAGGGATGAGATGGAACACTAAAGAAAATAGCAGGAGGGGGGCTAGGATGCAGGCAAGACTTGTGTCCACATCCAGTCCAGCTTGGAGTTTCGGGCTCCCTTCTCCAGAAACCCGAGGCGCACTGGATGTGGATAAAGATGAGGCCCCTGGAGGCTTGATTGTTGTCCATATCCAGTGCGCCTCGCCCTTGCAGCGTCCCTTCCAAGGAAATCCAAGACGCACTGGATATGGATATGAGCATTGCCCGCATAGGAACAGAAACCACGTGGCAAGACCAAACGGGCAAATCGGGCGGGTAGACCCTAACGGACGGTCGGAAAGGCGGGCCTAGACGGCCAGGTCGAGCAGGCGGCTTGCTAAAGCGTGCGTCTTGAATGAGTCGCGAGGAAGTCTCGAGCGATAGCGCGATACCACAATAAATCTTGGAGAAATCCACAGCGAGAGCGTGAATCCTGAGTGTCGAGAGCGTGGCGTCTGAATGAACTGCAAGGGTGTCCCACGCGAAAGCGTGATTCCTGCATAATAATATGAGGAAGTCCATCGCGAGAGCGCGATTTGGGAATCAACTGTGCGGAAATACCAGGCGGAAGCCGCTGTTGTTGTAAACCGAGGGCCAGGGGCACAGTTTGAGCAGGAAGACCTTCCCCGGTAAGAAATCCAGCGAGCCCCTGGAGGGGCACTGCAATTTCAAAGACACGTATGTTACGCGAATGCGTGAGTCCTGCATAATTCGCCAAGAAGTCTCGGGCGGGAGAGCGATTCCCAAGTAAAATGAAAGGAAATCCCGGGCGTGAGCGCGATTCCTGACTGGCGAGGGCGTGGCGCCTGACTCAATTATGAAGAAGTCACAGGCGAGAGCACTATCTTGATAAATTGCTAAGAAATCCCTGGCGAGAGCCCGATTCCTGAGTAGACTGCTAGGAAATATGGGGCGGGAGCGGTCGCTGTTGTAAACCGGAGCCAGGGGCACAGTTTGAGGAGGAAGACTTTCCTTGATAAAAACGGGGTGCGAGCCCCAGAAGGGGCACTTCAATCGAAAGACACATCTGTTACCGGAGGGGGGCATCAACAATCATTATTCTTCAGTAGTACCAGTTCAACAACAACACCAACGCCAACAAAATCTTCGCCCCCGACCATGACTTCAATTACGCGCCCAGGGACAGTGCATGCCCGTTCGGCCCAATCACTCTGACGAGCGACGGGAAAGGAATGGGTATTGCGTGAGATGACGTAGCGACCGTGCGCCGCGGCTTACGCGGGCCGTCAGTGCGGCACGCAACATTGGAGACGAGGGCGCTTACGCGCGACCTTACGCGGGGAACGTAAGCATCAATGGTGGCACAATCGACCCCGGTTTCTTCCATCGCTTAGCTGGGGATCTCGAAATCCTTCCGAGATCAGAAACATTGGGAGTTATCGAATGTATGCACAGGGGCACAACCAGTGTGGAACAGACTTTCTAAGCACAGACGGCTCACACAACGAAGATAAGTGTCCCCTCAAATCACTTGCCATGCAGCAGCGGGGCGCCGAAGTCTACACAGCCTGGACACGCACCAGCCTGAACGGACCGCGCTACTGAAGTGTAGCTGGGCGGTCTTTCGCAGGCCAGAGCAACCGCCTGGCCCTCATGGAAGGGCAGGGGAAAGGACAAGCAGGCGAGGGAGGGGGAGGGATGACGAGGGCGACAATGAGGACGAGCAAGCGCCCAGACAGATGCCTTCGGAGCGGCAGTGAGTGGACCAGGGCAGAAACGCGAAGCTGGCTTCGGGCACGGGGTTGTGCAGTGCGAGCGGATGGCCACGAGATGGGTGGATGGCTGCGGGAAGCATTTGCGATCGGCATTGCCTTAACACGGGGATTGAGAAGAGAGGAGCATCAAATGTTGGCGACATTTGACTCGGCAAGACTTCGCAGAGGTTCCCAGTCCGGGGGTGAAGACGGCCCCGACCTCCCTCCACTCCAAACTGGCTCCGATCGGTCATATGTGTCCCTCCCACTCAGCCTTGTCGAGCCTTCCGAGTTGCTGCCGCCACAACATGTTCTTTTAAATGACAAAGACCACACGTTCGTGAATGTATGCTTCCGATACGAACAATACACCAGCGGAGGACGGATGCGTGTCCTCTGTCCAATGTGGGCCCAACCAACAGGGTATACGGGATCATACGCATGTAAATCTATAGATATAACTATATTGTGTATGAATTCGCAACGCTTCTGGCTGTCACCCCTGACTCGACGGTGTTACAGTCGACGCCGGACCCTTCCCTGAAGAGGCCGTATAAGCATAGTTATAGGAGGTATCCAGATTTGCTCCTGCGTGAATCGCAGTCTGCTGTGTGGCAGAAACTTGTCGCTGATGATGCTCACGTCCAAGTGCGCCATCTATCATGCCGAAGACCAACGGTGGCACCCCGCACAACCGGAGGCGACGAGGATGCGGTGGAATGCGCAAACACGAATATACGATGCGTGGCCGAGCGCATACACCTGCGCCCTAGGGCAGTCCAGCCTTGCAGAAGCCTGCTGCCTGGCCAGCAGGATCGGATGCGTGGCACAGAGAGGCGAGGCGTGGGAGGAAGGGATCTGCGACATCCCACGGGGCGGGGAGGAGGGAGAAGGGAGGGGATGCAGCTGAGGGGAACGGCGGAAAGCCGCCCTTCATGTGCACTGACAATTTCCGCTCCCGATGGGCACGAATCGCGCTGGCCAGAGAATCTGCTCATCGGACGCTGTCTCGTCGGTCTAAAGAGGGTCGGGGAGCGGATGTGTGGCATGTGTTTGTCCATCCCGAGGCGCCGTCATATTCATCAATGCCCCAGCAGCGTACCCCTTCGCCACGTCGTCGCCCGACTCGAGCAACTTCAGCAAGTGCTCAACAGCGCCGTCCTCCACGAGGAGGGCGAAGAGAAATAGCGGTGGATGTGAAGCTTTCTCTCCATCCGTCCTACTCTGCGTTCGCGCGAGTCGAACGGCGGGCGGCACATGCCGTCGCGCAAGCTCCTTCCTTCTCCTCCTCCTCCTCCTCCGAGAGAGAGAGAGAGAGAGAGAGAAAGAAAGAGAGCCGAGGTACGCCCACTGAGATACAACGCCCAAGACTGTCTGCATTCGCTGTTACGCCGTCAAAACTGATACACCGTCGAGCCAGCATGGTCTATGACGTATGCCCCCCCCCCTCCTGGTCGACGCCTGCGCAACTCCGAGAAAGGCGCCCATGCACCGCACTGTGCTTGAACTCACTGCAAGCCACGCTTCCACTTAGTGCAATGCCCAGTTGTTTAGCTCTGAGCCCGAACAAAATATGCACCGCACCATGCAGTAGAGGCCTCCTCAATGGGGTCCGAGTAGATGGGGTAGGAGGATCGCGCCGCATCGTCAATACATCGCCGATGTATTGGCGATGTATAGGCGACTCATCGGCGACGTCGGCGAGGAGAAAATCGGGCTCCGCATCGAGCCGCATCGCCGATACATCGGCGTTGCGGCGTGATCCTCCGACTCCATCTACTCTACTCCGACCACACCTATCTAGGAGGCCTGGAGTTCATGGGTCTAGAGGGACCACGTCATGGATGTCCGCGCGGACATCTTGGATCGAAGCTGGATCTCCCTCTCCCTGGCGCGCGGAGCGCGCAAAGGGGCGGCGGCGGAGGCGCGGGCAAGGGGGGACAAAGCGCCGATCCGAGAACTCCGCGCGGAGCGACAAGGAATTCCTCGAGGCCTCCTAGATGGGGTCCGAGTAGATGGGGCCGAAGGACCGCATCGGCGATGCACTGGTGACGTCGGCGATGCATCGGCGACTAGAGGTCCGCGCGGCTCTCTTGGACCGGCGCTGGACCCTTCCCCACCCCCCTGGCGCGCGGCGCGCTCGAAAGGGCTGCGCCAGAGGCGCCGCCCAGGGGGCCCCAGGCGCCGATCCAAGAAATCAGCGCGGGGCGACGAGAACCTACGCATGTGCAACTTTTTTGAATGGGCCCAGGGACACACAACTGAATAAACACACAACCCCAGGATCCCCCACATTTCCATACTTGGGAATCGGCAAGGAACTGTGCCTGAGTGGTTTTGCTTCCCTCCTGACTCTTGCCCTGCGAGGGTCGGGCATCGGCAAGGCCTCGTAAGACACGAAACGCTGGCACGGTGCACGCGAGTCGCCCGCGGAGCAGCGACGTCAGCCGACCCCCGCGGGCACACCGATCGCCCAGAGCTGCCCGCTCGAGCCCGGCGCAGGCCACGGCGACGGAGAGCCACGCGCTGGAGCGGGGCGGTCGGGCAACGAGCAGGCCTCGCGCGAGGAGCGGCGCCGCGCGGGGGGCGCGACAACACGTGCTGCATCACTAAGGAAGAAAGGCACACGAACGACGAACAAGCGAACAAGAGCAAAGGACGAACGGCACGCGAAAACAACGAACATGAACGACAGCAGCAACAACAACAACAAGCACAACAACAACCACAACCACAACCACAACCACAACCACAATCACAACCACAACCACAACCACAACAACAACACCAACAACAACAGCAGCAACAGCAACAGCAACAGCAACAGCAACAACAACAACAACACCAACAACAACACCACCACCACCAACAACAACAACAATGACAACGACAACGACAACACGGGTCTTACGCGAGGTGGCACAGCGACCGTACGCGGTGGTCTACGCGGGCCGCCAGCGCGGCACGCTACATTGGAGACGAGGGCGCTGACGCGCGACCTTGCGCGGAGAACTCACGCGCGACTGTCGGCGCAATCGACAACGTTTTCTCCCGTCGCTTACATGGTCCAGCCTCGTCTCTTCTCTCCTTCCCTGCCGCCCTACTCCCCTCGCCTCGCGATGTTTAATGAGGATCCCTGCTCTCCAAGCTTCGGGGCTTGTTCAAGTGAGACGAGTTTCGCCCCTGAACGGTTCCAGCCGACGCAGTTTTTATTCGGACAGCGGGGCTGACCGAAAAACAGAAGCGGGCCAGGAACGAACCTGGAACGGGCAGGAGAGCGAGACGCCGCCGAGGAGCAAGGAGGGGAGAGGGAGAGGGAGGGACGACGACAATAAAGGACAGACCAGGCCGACAGCCGAAGGGGTGGAGGCACCGGGGGGGGGGCAATCAGCGCGCTGGATTCCGATACCGCTCGGATCGTGCAGCCTTGAACGATCAGCTCTCCAATCGCCAAATCGTTCCATCCTGGCAGAGTCTGGGCTACACTCGGACTGCTGAAATGAGACTAAGCAATGAAGCCCTTTTGTGGGGGTCGCGCACGCGCCCGCGTGGACGAGGAGCGTCAGAGCGACGGCCATGCGAGGACCCGAGGAACATCGAGCCCCTTCCAAACCCAAACCGTTCCTCGTGCCAGCGCCTCGGCTGCACCAGCAGGGTGCAGCCTGAAACGCCCGCGCTGGGGCCGCCGCCGCATCGTCACCGGAACGAGTCTGCACTGCCCGCCGTCGCCCCCCCGCCGGGCGCAGGCAGGCCACAGAGGGCCGCTCCGTCCTTGGCGAGCTCCTCCTTCTTGTCGGGGCACTTCCACGAGAGGTTCATGATGCCGAGTGCAGCCTCCGGCCGCTGCATCTGGCGATCATGCAAGACGCAGCAAATGCCTGTTCCTGCTCGCTGTGCCCGGGACCACTGTACTGTGACGGTGCGTCATGGGCATGTCAGGGCAGAAATCCCAACAGCGATGGAATCTAGCCTGACACACAACTGTGAAATTAGAACTGGCACGAGTGCAGATTAAATCATGGGTGCTCGGATCCTCTGGGCTATATTGGCGATGATGGCAAGAACATGGTTGATTCCGATTGAGGGGAATGATGGCAAGAGCTTAATGTCACCCTGTTGGCGAAGCAGGGTTGCAAATCTATTCGCAGACGCGCAAAATGAATAGTCGATCATCGGGTAGGATCCACTAATCTGTGCAAACTCTTAGCTTCAAGGCCAGCGATTTTCTTTCATCAGGCCAATCATATCATTCAAAAGCTAATTGCCTGCCCACAGCATGAAGACTTGAAGCATCCTCGTGCAGTCCAGACGCCTTCATCTCACGCACATCTCCGATGGCAATCAATGCAGGAATAATGGTAAGTCCATTTGCTCCTGACGCGACCGCAAACGTGGGCGGTACAACAATGCACAGCAAGGTCGCGCCAAATTGCGATGATTTCATCCAAACGCTTCGCCGGTTGTTTTGTTTGTTGAGCTGGCGCCCACAAAATTCACCATTAGTGCTTGTCTTTGCAAATATAGATGCAGCGCAAAGAACCTCAACGACCTCTACCACTAAAAGACCGATAACCGAGATAATTACGCGTTGGAATGAAGATCTGAAATAGTTTGACATGTCTGACCTTCGAAAACGCGAACTCTGCATGTAATGCATGCCATTGCGCATACTATCGACTCTGGAAATAATTAATCGTCGTGTCGGAATGATGTACTGAGTTACCGATTGGTCGAAACAATAATGTGTTCAAACTCAAGAAACTCTACAGACTGCCTTGTCGCTATAGGAAACCGCGTCTGAAACTTAGGTGGATTACACTGACGATCGGAATTCGCAGAGTCCTGTGATTGGGGATCGGACGTCATATAATGGGTCTGCGTGTCGCCGTTCTGGTTGGACGGCGGTCATCAACGGAAGTTGGAATCGCACATACTGACGTCACACGGCCACCTCAGCAATACTCATCACGCATCTACTTGAGGCTATCGCGAACAGCTTCTACAAATTCAGCACTGGCACCACACACGTTTAGTACGTACAACGGTTCGACCTCTGCTACCATGTGTCATCAAGCTCGGTTCCCAACAACGGATGCACTTTATTGACAAAGGGCATTCGGTCTGGAGAAAGGCCCAGCGAGGCCGTTCCGAAATCACAGTGCACATCGGCGTGAATACTAACATTTGATTCGCGAGGACGAGCAATGATGCTGAAAGGGAGGAATAGGCGGAGGAGCCGAACCAGGATGAGTTGGAAGCGAGCAGGAGAGAGGCAAAAGGGGAAAGGGCATGGATGGGGAGGAACGGGTGCGAGGAGAAAGAGGCAGGATAGGGCTGCGAGGCGGAGGGACAAATAATTCTGCCTATAATTGAGCTGAACGTTAAGCCTACCGTCTGTTGTTGAAGCTTAGACGTGCCCAGATGAGCTTAGGTTAAGCTTACATCGGTGTGCATATGTGTGCGTGTGAATCTATATATATATATATATATAAACATATGTATATATGTGTGTATCCACACACACACACATATATATATATATATATGTATCCACCACCGTGCCTTTCAGGCACGAGCTGGAGTGTCCTCAGGTCCCTTGCTCAACCCCCTTGAGCCTCAGTCCTAAATCATGCGGATTCGTTCAGGGCCCCGGACCCCAACTTCTTGAATATATTGGGGGTTGTCGCGTGACTCAAGACGGGCCAACAGTTCCTCAAGAGGCCCCAAAGATGGCCCCTAATCGCTGAACGATCGGTTCAAAACACCCAAGGTGATCTCCAGTCAGCCGAAAAACGCCCAAGACGTCCCAAAAGGCCCCCACTAGCCTTCCCAAGAGGGCCCCAGGAGGCCAACATCATTGAGAACCCTCGGGTTCTCAATGTTTTGGGGAGAACCTCCACTTTTCGAGCTCCCGACGCTCCAAAATTACCAAAAAAGACCCCAAAGACCGCCCCGAGATGGCCCAAGAGACGCCCAGGACGGCCACAAGACGGGCTCAAGAGTTCACGGCGTGCCAGACGTCTGGCAGGGGTTCGGTTCTTTTCTAAAGAACTCCCCCTGGGGTTTCGGCCCAGCCCGCCAGCCACCCAGAAAAGGTGGGAGGTGAGGTTGCGTCCACTCGAGATGTCCTCAAGCTGGCCTCCCAAACGGCCAAGATTGTCCAAGATGGTCTGCAAGATGCCTCTAACAAGGTTAAGATGGCCCCAGGTGGCTGGCCTCCAAGACGGTCCCAAGACGCTTCTAAAGTGACCATGATGGCCCCAAGACGTCCCAACATGAAGGCCCAAGACGGCCTCCAGACGGCCCGAGAGGCCCCTCAGAATCCCCAAGCGGGCTGAAAGAAGAACTCCAGAAGGCACACATCCTTGATATGTTGCTCTATGATTTTCACTGATTGTCGCGCGTTCTCCCCGTTTCGGGCCTCCGAATCTCCAAGTCGGGCCCATAGGCCCAGAAGATCGCCCCAAGATGGCCCTGTAGGCCCGCAAGACGGCCCTAAGACAGCCCAAGAGGCCCCCAAGACGGCACCCAGAAGGACTCAGAGACCTCCAAGGCGGCCCTCAAGCGGGCCCCAAGACAGCCTCCGAAGACCTAGCTGTCCCATTCGAGGCACCCACAAGCCCCTAAGATGTCCCCAAGAGGCCCTAGGAGAATCCCAAAAGGCCCCAGGAGGCTCCCAAGAGGCCCCTTCCAGCTCCGCCCAACGGGCTCCCAGGAATGCCCCAGGAGGCCTCAAGAGGGTCTCAAGAGGCTTTCACTTCTTCCTCCTCCTCCTCCTTCTCCTCCCTCTCCTCCCCTTTCTCTTCCTCTTTCCAGTGTTCCCCCAGGGGTTTTCACAAGCTTGGCTGGACTTCGGCCCAACGTTTGGCCGCATGTGCGCTTCCAGAAAGCAGGGAACGGCGATGATTCGCCGCAGGCGTCTTCGACAACCTTCGAAGGGAGAGGCGGGGTAGCGACGAGCGGTGGCAAAACCGGAGGGGAAGAAGACGGGGACCGTCACCAAGACCTAACGCGGAAACGCCGCTTCGATCTCGGCCACCGCCGATCGCGGTCAGCGTCGATGCGCTGATGCTCCTCGCGCATCGGCGACGCTCGACATTTGAGGAATACCAAACGGCATGAACATACACTTTTGGCGCTCCGCGCGGATTTCTTGGATCTGCGCTGGGCCCCCCTCCCTGGCGCGCGGAGTGCGCCAGGGGCGGCGCAGGACGCGCCGCCGGGGGGCCCAGCGTGGACCCAAAGAACTGCGCGCGGAGCGCCAAACGTGCTGTGCATGGCCTTTTTTTTCTTCTTCGAGACCTGGGACCGTGACCAAGATCGGCATCGACAAGACGCCGCACATTCTGTCCACCGCCCCGCCCCCGCGCTGCTGCCCTCCGAACGGCGCCCGCGGCGCCTGCTCGACGCCGGCGGCCAGCAGCTCCAGGAGGGGCCGCTTCGCCCCCGCCTCCCACGCCTTCTGGCACGGGGCGTCCTCCCCGGGGGCGCCGGCCGCGGCGGCGACGAAGGGCGCCCCGGCAGGGTCAGGCAGGATCGCGCTAAGAATAGACACCACCACCTTGGTCTTCCCTGCCCTGGTGGTGGTGGTGTACTCCAAATTTCGTAATAAAGGGAGGGGGGTCTCATTTCGGGGGGGGGTCTCTTCCAGGCTATCTTGGAGGGCCTGGGGGGTCTGGGGACGACGTTTTGGAGGGTTCTCCCACGAGGGAGGTCTGACATGGCTTGTCTTGGAGGGTCCAGACCCCCTCCCTTTTATTACGAAATCTGGAGTACAGGTTCGGGCCCCGCACAGTCCGCACCGCATCCGGAGGTCGGATCGGATCGGAGCGTGCGTGCGTCTGCGGCAGCTCACGGGGGGCATCCCATGCCATCTGGTTGGCTCCTGCGACTGGGCGCTGATCGACGTTAGCCGACGCTACATCGAAGCCAAATCGACGCCACATCGAAGCCAAATCGACACCACATCGAAGCGAGTCGACGACAAAACCGCGCTATCTCATTAACTACCAAACGCCAATCCACCCGACTGCTCTCGAATGGCGGAGTTACGAGGGTCTACAAGGCCGCCATGATTTGCGATCGAATGCGTCGATTCGGGCCGCATCGGCACGGAGCTGGAACGGAACCAGATCGGCCGCGCCCGAGTGCACAGCAGCACCACGTGATCATCGGGCCGCACCAGCTCGTCGGAGAACCAGGATCGAGTCGGATCGGGTCGGCCGAGCGAATTCGGTTCCGAAGTGGACAGGTTGGAACGACGTGTATCAAAGGATACGCCCACCTCGATCCCTGACTGCGTCGGGCTTTGGAGCGGACGCAGGCGTTTGCCACAACTCTCGGATACACGATAGGAGGGCGCCCTTCCTCGATGGGGCTGCGTCTGGATAGCCCCCCTTGGGGTGCATCCTCGAGTCCCCCTTCTTTTCCCGGATGGCTCCTGGCTAAGAGGGTCGTTAAATAAGACACAGGCGGGCAGGCCACGCCGGCTCCTCTCCAAGGCTCCCGGACGGGCATCCTCGCAGCGCCTCCCGTGATTTTGCAGCGAATCCCGAGGGCGTTGCCTTACTCCTTCCCAGTACGCGTGCCGGAAGCCTTCCCACAGCTCCGTCGAAGCTTCCTCGGGGCTTTTGCGAAGCTCCTTTCGCAAGCTTGCAAGCTCCCCAGGCATGCGTTCCAGCTTTCTTGCAAGCGTCCCCCACAGGCATTTCACGCGCTTTGGACTGCGCTGTTATCCGGGATTTGGACGCTACAAGTTTTGAGCGTTTTTTCTTAAGAAATCAGGAGTTGGGGGCGAAAAGCAGCCTGCGAATTATGGACCCTGAAGGCTGCCCTCCGGCCTGCACGCACGTGCTGAGAGGCGCGCGCGCGCGAGCTCCAAGGAGCACGCGCGCGCGAAGTTCTCCACTGCCCTGGGAAGAGAGGCTGCCCTCCTGGAGCCGAGGCGGGGATGTGAATCCATGCCCACCGCCCGGTGAGTCGATCCTTGGGGAACCTCGGCGGGCGGTGGACATGTGTGCCATTGTTCCATTCGCCCGCACGCAAGTCACTTGCATGGGGGGGGCGTGGCAAGGGGCGTGGCGAGGCCTGAAAGGAGATTGGCACATTACACAGGGTCCGGACCCACTTGCACGCCTTTTCCGCCGAGCGCTGTTTGACAAAGCGGGGGAAGGGTGGAGGGGGGAAGTCTCACACAAATAAGCCTGCCAGAATCCGCAACACTCGCGGTCTATGCTAGGAGAGGCCCCTCCTGGGAGCATCTCGCAAGAACGAGTAAGGGCAACTGAAGCCGATTGCGGAGCCATGAAGCTGAAGCATCCCAGAGAGAGAGAGCCCAGGACTCCGGTCGGGAACCTCTGCACAGCGTGTCGCGGCGGCGACCCCGGCGACACACTCTGCCTGGGACAGCCTCGAGACGTTCACGCTCGGCGGCTGGGACGTGGACAGCGCTTCGCACCCGAGCGCGGAGGGCCATAGCCCGCGACCCGACACGCTAAACCAGAGTTCCTGACCGTGGGCCCGATTAAGCAGATTGGCCAGAGACGTCACGGGGTTCTCCCAGTTCTCGACCACGGATCTGCCACTGCTGGCGCCGAAGCGAACCTCCCAGGAGCTGCATCCTAAGACATGGATGCGCTTGCCACCCCGAGGGGCCGACCGTCTCCATGTCCACCGTGGCCCTTCGGCGCCCTGCCCTGTCCCGCTGCATGCTCCGCTTGTGCGCTCCAGGAAGCAAAACACACTCTTCGGCGGCAGTTCATGGGAGCCTCCCAGACCATGTTGTCGGCTCCTGCGAGCCGACGCTCATCCACGCTAAATCGACGCTAGTCGACGCTAGATCGACGCTCATCGGCGCTAACCGACGCTAAATCGGCGCTATCTCATCGACTCCCAAGCGCTAATCGACGCGAATCGACGCTAAGGACGGAATTAACAGGGTACGCCAGGATCCCATGATTTGCTACCGAAGCATTCTGAGCTTGGGTAGGGAATGTCTGCACGAACGACGCCCGCACAGCAACCATACCCACCGAACTCGACGGAAGCTGTTCGCGAATGGGTCTCCAAACGATGCGTACCCGAAATGCTAACGCAGAGGTTCCGCAGGAAGCGTCTTATGCGACGCAATCGCTTCACATGAGGAGGAGGAGGAGGAGGAGGAGGAGGAGGAGGAGCAGCAGGAGGAGCAGGTAGAGGGGGACACAGGAGGAAGGACAATCAGCTGGCGAATGATACGAATTCTGCCTGGAACGTTGCCGAAGGAGGCGTACCCGAAAAGCTCACGCAGCGGTGCCGCAGGGAGCGCCGTCACGTGCACTCTCGGGTGCTGCCTCTCGTCTCTCTCTCCCTTGGGCCCTTGGGACTCCTCGGCCGCCAGCATCGCGAGCGCGAAGGCAGCCTGCCTCTTCGCGTCTTCGCCCACGCTCCTGGGCTGCGCAAGAGCATACTCGAAGGAACGCATGAGAACCGCCCCCCGCCCCCCACATGAGGAGATGTAGACCAACAAGATCGCTCGCGCGGGGCCCCTCCCCCTGCGGCAGCTCGCAATGGCCTCGCTCACAGGGCACCTACACTTACGCACATTCGCCATGATTCCAAAACGCGGACATGGAAAATCCATTGTTGTGGGGGCTGGGGTCGGTTTCCCACTGTTCATCTAAAACGTCTCGTCCCGCGCTTCGGCTTCAATACACGAGACTGAACTGCTGCATCCGCATCCCTGCCAGACATACGTCTTCCTACAGTGCCGAATGAGTATTCGTTGTAGCTTCCAGCGGTCCCGTTCCAACATAGTTTCTGACGTGTGGTGCGCCATGGCCAAAACTGTCACACATTCGATCAATATCCCTCTTTCCGAAATACCGTAACGCCGGGCAAGGCCCGTGCCGCCTGCTCCCTCTGCGCCAGAACAGGTCCAGGTGACGAGCGAAGCGTTTTTGCTGGCGTTGCCAATGAGCGAATGCAGCCGTCAGAGAGACGAAGCGAACCCTTCGCGCTCCACTTCCCTCCCCCCCCAAGATCCAACGCACGCCGCCAATCGGCGAGCACAGAGCGCCTGCCAACAGAGCAGACAGGTCAAGGACCGACTGGAACTCACGAGCGGCGAACACATCCACGTCCACACCCTGGCGTTCCGGATTCTGGGGCGCGATACCGTGGATACTGAATCACATAAACACGCTCCGCGCGGCAATCCGCCACATAAAGCCTCTCGCATCCATGAGATCGCGGGCCCACGGGCCTAGCCCGAGAGGCTGTGGATATGGATACGCTTCCCGCCCACGAGGACCCAGGCGTGCAAAGCCCAGCAATCCGCTGTTGCAAAAATGCCGGCGCATTTGTGTCGCAACGTGCTCTGTCTCATCTCTTTCTCTCTCTCTCTCTCTCTCTCCGTTGCCAGGGTATTGAGCAGGGGCCGACACCCCTGGCACTCTTAATTGGCCTACCACAACATTCCCAAAACAGCGCTTGCGCTTGGAGGCGTTTATTTCTATTTGAAGGAACTGGGCCTGGGTGGCGGTCTGGCGCGACTCCGTGCTCGCCGTCGCCGCCCCGTCGCCGCCCGCCGCCTGGCAGTCTGGCGCAGCTCCGTGCTCGCCGTCGCCGCCCCTGTCGCCGCCTCGTCGCCGCAACAAGGAGTGCACAACATAGATCGCATCAAAATAGCTTGCACCGCGGAGATCGTACCGGATAATTCCCCCCCCCCATAATTTGCACCACATGAATTATACCGCATCGATTTTCTTTTCTGAAACAATAGATCCCCACCAAGATTTTCCACCCCCTTTTTCCGCATTCCAATTTCAATACGACTCTACCCCATCGCCCATCCGAAATATGAATCCATTCCATCCCAGGCAGGCCAGTATCGACACCCCCAATCGATCTCTGGAAATAATGCTTTGCGCACGCACTCGCTTCTAAAAACGACCCGTGCTCAATAATCCCTTGCAACAGAAAAACGAAAAGAAAGGCACACACGCGCGTCGTCGCGCGAACCAGAATAAATCATTCCCAAACCTTCGGCTTCGTGAAGATTGCAGAATCGTGCGTCCAAGACCATATATAAAAACCATGGTGTCGCAACACTGATCGTAACAAAAATGTGCGCGCGATCTGGCGAATTCCTCAAACGTAACCATCGGCGTTTTTCGACATTTGCACGACATGCAACCAAGTGGGCTTCGCGCGCACATGTCGAAATCCTTGCAACGCCCTTGCGCGCGTGCTGTTGCCACACTCCTTTGCAACACATTCAACGTCATTCACACGCGCGCGTCGTCGCGAGCGCGCGCTGAAACCCGTCAACAAAAACGTCGGGCAACCTGGGGGTTGCAAAACCGAGTGCCCCGGAACCTTATGAAAACAGATTGCTTCACAACAGCGGTTATCAAAAAAACCTGCGCTCGCGCTCTTGCAATTGTTTTAGAAACCGTGTTTTGTTTTTCAAACCTTTCTACTGCACTCTGCCCAGCGGGCCTCTCGTGCCGCATGCCGACATCATGCGAACGCCCCAGCGCGCGTGCTGCGGGGGCACGACCCGTGTCAACTGATACCATGCGGGCCACTCTCGCGCGTCGACTGCGCGCTCATGTCGAACTCCTTCCAAAACCTGCATCACCGACTGCGAATGCGCCGTCATCGTCGTCGGCGTGATCAGCATCGGCGCCGTCACTGGCCGTGCCGTCGTCGCTGCCATTATCGTCGCCAGCCCCGCTACTATCATCATCATGTTTACCGTTGCTGGCGTTACGATGATACCGCGCCCGCCCAAGTCACCGAATCGTACTGAAGTGCCCGCAGGGATGTGCCCAGCGGTCAGCGCCACCGCGGCCGCGTCGTTCGCGCCGCACTAGCTGGTCGCTGCGCGCGCGTGCATGCGTGGGTGGCGCGGCCGCAGAGATGCACCAGCAAACGCCAAGCGCTAATCGGAATCGCCGCCGCATAGATTTTGCAACCAAGTTGCGAATGGGTGGGTGGGATAATTGAAAGAGCATAGGAGGTGGTCAAACGCAATGAACCTTAGTCAATTGCACCGCATAGGTTGCACCGCATAGACAGCGCAACACATATGGCACAACAGACTGTGCAACATCGATGGCCCACCGTACATCACGTAGATAGGGCGACAAACAATACACAACCTAGCTTGCACACCATCAATCGCATCACATTGAGTGCACCACACAGGATGCACAACCTACATAACTAGAAACACGCAACATGAAACCCACGTGGTCTAATACGTTCTTGGGTTACAAGAGAATGTGCGGACAACAAAATCAATGTTCTTCATAAGTGAAATCGATGTCCGATCAGGAGGGTCTCAGCCAAACATGCCCTGAGAACACTCCGTGCAACTCACGAAGAAGTTCCAAGAACATTCATGGGTGGGCCGATCGCCCGGTCGGCACAACTCGCGCCACCTCTCGAAGGGGTGGGAGGCGGGGCCTGGCTCAAAGGGAGGGCGCGGACGTGTCGTCACGGAGGATGGTCTGGCGGGGTCGTGTACCCGACGGGGGGGGGGGGGGCGCGTCGACCACGAGGGGGGGGGGGGCGGCCACATGGGCTCCCGCGCGGGGCCACGCGGCACCAAGCCTGCCACGAGCGGCAAGCGCACCCACGTCGGGCGGGGGTGGCAACGGGGGGTGACCAGGACGGGGGGTGGAGAGAAAAAGGGTTGCACCGACCTGGAATCGGGGATGCATCGCCGGCGGGGTGAGCTGTCGGGCTCTCATTGGCGATGACTGGGCGATTGGGGGTCGATGCGTCCCCCGCTCAGCAAATTCCCCCCTCAGAGTTGCCCCCGACAAGTACCTGGCCCGGGGGACCGAGACGGCGAGCTCGAAGCCCAGTTTCCCTGGGGCCCGCGCGGGGCCCAGCCTCAAGTCTATCCCGCTGAATCAGCAGAGTCATCGTGGACAAACACGTGGGACAGGCAGAACCGACTCCAAAATCCATGCTCTTGGCTACAATAAAGGAAACCAAACTGTCACGCGAGAAGTCCTGCTGCTCGTGATGGCCACCAGAGCGGAGACCATCTGCGGTGCTTCCTCGAAGCCTGATGCAAGCGAAAATGACCAAGGCAGTGGAGAGCAAGGATCGACAACATGGCCCAGTGGAGAGCCCAGCCCTTTCCTGAACACACTGGCGTCTCCTTTAGGCGAAGCCAGGACGATACTAAACTCGGGCGAAGATAAATTGGAAATCCCTGAGATCTGGCGACTCTGGAGGAAGTCTCGAACGCCGCGGCCCTCTCAGAGCGTTCCGGGAAGCTCTTACACCGTTCCAGAACGCTGCTCTGACACGGGCTTCTTCTCGTCCCAGCCCCGTCCGATCCTGCACTCTCTGGCCCTCTGGGATTTGATTATTCTTTATTGACTGCCTACCAGACCACCCCAACCCAACCCGAAGACCCGAATTTCGGGTTGGGGGGTGGTATGGGCTCAATATGTGTTTTTTCCATGTTCCCGGACCCCCCCCCACTGGAAATGGAGGGCAAAATGAGGCCTTCGGGTTGGGTTGGGGTGGTTTGGTGGGTGGTGATTTATGGCTGCTCCGCTCTCCAGCCCCTCCCTTCCGCACTCCGGCCAGCGTCACAAGACAGCAAGAGCTGCCCAAGTAGGGCCTGTCACGGATCCTATACGGATTCCACGGGGCGGCGCTGGACCACCCTCCCGGGGCAGAGGAGCAGGCCAGGGGCGCCGCCAGAGGCGCCGCCAGGGGGTCCGGCGCTGATCCAAGAGATCCGCGCAAATGCCTTCGGAACTTTGTATCAATTCTGCTCGTTTTCCTTCGATGCGTCCCCTGTGGCTCCCACTGGGCACCCCTTCAGGAGACCATTGTCAGACACGCCGCTCCGATCCCAGGGAGGGCCGAGTAGCCCTGGCCTGGGAGTTGGGCCAGATATAGCCGCCCTCGCCCCAGTGTTTGAGCGAAACTGCCGCCGAAAACCACAGAAGCACACCCGCCTTTACCAATCATTTGTTTGTGTTGTTTTTGTTTTTTGAGGGAGAAGATGGGAGCGGACCGCAAAATTCAAGAACCACCGTCGTAACGCGAATGCCAGCTGCACTTGAAAGCCGTTTTCCTTCTCAACAAAAGTGTGGAAACGGACGCAGGAAACGACAAGGCAAATAACACAAGAAACGAATTCGCCGGAAAATGTATCACCCCCGTGCCAGCGAGCCAGCAGCAGTGCAGAGATGATAGCAAAAACCTGCAATAGCCCCGGAGACATCCGGCCCCTAAAAGCAAACATCTGCTGTCTCGGCCGCGTGGCCGGCGTAATCGTAAGAAGCTCCGTGAATCACCACGCAAACTGCACGCTCACGATGAAATGAACCGCCCAGTCGCAACATCAGCTGACCATGGCGAAAGCCTGGATTGAAGGCGAAGTGGCATGAGCCACAACGCAATGCCGAGGAAGCGAAACTAGAATTACCTGACACAGGACGCCATATAAACACAACGCTGGAGGGGGTGGAGCAGCAGCAGAAGCAAGAGAGCAGCAGAGACGAGAGAACACAGAGACAATCCTGCAGTCTCAATCGAATCGACAGGTAAATCATACCACACGCAAGCAGAAGGCCAGCATCAAGCGGAGCCTTTCGTCACACTGGGAGCGTTGTCGCTGAAGATGTTGGCCAGTGCGCCAGCGGCGTACTCCTCGCTGGGGGGGAAGGCGAGCGAACGCCGCAGCCAATTTGAAATATTCGCGATAGAGCCCGTGGCTGGCCCCCCGCGCCCCCCCGCCCCGGTTACGTCACGATTCGCGCCCGCGCCGTCTGGGAACCAGCCACTCTCGGCTTCACATAAGAGTGACCCCGGGTAAGAGTGACCTTTGGTGCGCGGCTTTCGCGGAGCTGCGGGGGGGCCAACCCCGTCGCGCAAGACACTACTGCCGCATCGCCGAACCCCGATGGGCCCGCACCAACGGTCACTCCGGCGGAAGGTCACTCTTATGTGCAATCGACACTCCTGAGCGTTCCCCCAGACGGCGCCGGCGCGAATCGTGTCGTGACCGGCCCCCTCCCCTCCCCCTCCCGCCCCCGATAACGCCCGCTATCGCCAGGGGGTGAAAAAATGGTCTCTCGTAAACGTGGCACTGAGGCAAGGAGTCGGAGTCGGTGCAGCCAAGCGGTGGGAAGCAAGCTGCACTGAGAAGTCGCCTGCCCGTCGGCTTGCTTGCCGTCCGGAGCTCCTCGAGCTGCAGATCTCGAGGGAGGGCTGCGAGTGAAAGGGCCCCAGGCGCAGGCTCTCCGGGCGCGGCTCCGGAGCTCCCCGGGGCCGCCCAGGACGGCCACGGCCCGACCAGGCCGCCCCGAGGCGGCCGTGCTGCGCCACTCCGGGGGAGCTCGTCGGAAGCTCGGCGCCCAGGACGGCCCGAGGACCTCCACGGGCCCTCCAGAGGCCCGATCGGGGCGGCCCCAGAGAAGTTGGCACCGATCAAACAACAACACACATGCAACGCATCGGCCGCGCCATGCAACAACATCGTGGTGGTGCCCTGGCAGTGTTCTCGAGCCTCGTCGGGAGAGGTCGGCAGAACATCCTTCGGCGGCGATCTCAAAGGCCGGTGGGCTTCTGCGAAACCTCCGCGCCTTCTGAGAAGCCGTCTGCAGATTCGGAGAAGGATTGCAAGGCTTCTCAGAAGGCGGGAGGGCTTCTGAACATCCCCGCGGCCTTCTGAGACGGCCTGCCCACTCTCACTTCTTCACGCGCCCGCCGCCGAATCATGCGTGCATGTTGCTGCCGTGATGGCACGGTGGCGGGGCGTGCCGCAGTCTGCTAAACACCACCGTCACTCCCGGCTATTTGCCACACTGTAGAGCCAACGAAAGCTGATGCCCCCAGGGACGCTTCCAGCCTGGTTCTGGGCCCGCAGGGTCGCATTCCGCATCTGGACCTCGATCACAATGTCTGCAGACGTACTGTCGGAGAGTCTACGGAATCGGCTCAACGATATAATCTCTCTCGCAGGCGTGCACGAAGCACCGCTGCCGTTCCCGAGGCATCCCCTGCGCAGGCCTCGCGCACCGAACCTCTGCTCCTCCGGCGTGCCATCCCCCGCTGCTGCTCTCTTTCGTTCCTTCAATCGGGGATGGACAGACCCCCCTTTAGTAAAACGAGGTTTAGTGAAAACGACCTGAGGCCCAAACCTGGCGGGCGCAAGCTTGGAAAATAACGGCCACGGCGCCCTCTCGAGAACCGAAAACGGACAATTCACTAATCGACGTGTCACTGTTGGGGGTTCTGTCCACCCCCGATTCAAGGCCCACACTGCAGGAGACCGGAGCAATTTCGTACAGGTCATATGAAGCAGCGTGGCACCCTGACAAGTGCAGCTTCTCGCTTCAATAACCACACCACCTGCTCCTCTTCCTCCTCCTCCTCCTCCCTCCTCCTCCTCCTCCTCCTCCTCCTCCTCCTCCTGCTCCTGCTCCTCCTCCTCCTCCTCCTCCTCCTCCTCCTCCTCCTCCTCCTGCCTGCCTGTTACCTACTAACGAGACGCACTACAGTCAACCCGTATAGCAAGGATGCGCGATAAGGACGCAAGGGCCTTGGAAGGCCGTGTCGAAGCTTTGCGAGCGGGGCGCGGCCATCGAAAGTGGCCAAGGATGGGCCGCAGGGGCAAGGATGCAAGGTTAGCCTTGGGAAGGTTGCCCATCCTTACTATGCGGGTTGACTGTAGCATACAGTGCAATCGCACCTGTCACGATAGCGCTCAAAACAAGGTCGTGCTTTCCCGGGCTAGGGGCGAGCCAAGGCGAGCAATGCGGTGGTGAAAACCATCAGACGAGTAACATACTTACAGTAGACCAGCCACCATCGAGAAAGGAGGAGGCGAGACGAGGAGACAACGACGGAGGGACAACAGGAGGTCGCAGCCCCAAAAAGCGCTCAAGAAGCCCCCAAGAGGCTCCCAAGAGGCCCAAGGGAGCCAAAACCAGGCGTTGGCAGAACTGGGTTTAGGGGAACCCAGTTTAGTGATTTGTACCAGGGGCGCCCCGGTACCAGAACTGCCGTCACCCGAAAAGCACCAGTTACGGCAAACCTGGTTTAGTGAATCTGGCCAATTGAGGGGCCCCAGGGCCCTACCACTAATCGGGTTCCCTTAATTACCCGGGGTCCTGGCTATTCCCGACAAAAGAGCACTGCCAAGACAACCCCCAGAGGTAAACTCAAAGATTGTCCTTCAAGTGTTGGATGTAGTTCGTCATCGTCGTCGTTGCCGTCGTTCCCCTTCAGGGTCGGCGGCACTGGCAGTAAGGCTGTCGCAATCACCAAACGAGAGGCATGCGCAACGCCAGCCAGAATCGAGACAGGAGGCGGCGAGACGAGACGACCACAGCAACGAAGCCAGGGACAGCGAGAGGAACGCAACGCTGCAAAGCACACGATCCCTGCACACTCCCCTCGGCCCCCTGCCGCACAGAATCAGCGTCTGCCTGGCCAACGTCCGCGACCGCCGTCGACCGCACACTCTGGGCGGACAGACGGCGGCAACGCGGCCAGGGCCCACCGAGGCCAGAACGGGGCAGCGCAGACAGGGCGCCCAGGGGCCGGCGTCGCCCGAGCTCGCCTCCCCTCTGCGTGCCGTCGGGCTCGCCCGCGGCGCGAGCGGGGCCACGCGAGGCCAGGCGAGGCAGATCTTCTGCCATCATGCGCTCGCCGCCGGGGGACGCGACCTCCCAAGACCCCACGGGGGGCCGTGGACACGGAGAACGCAGCCGGGCCCCGGGAGGCCGGAAGGGGGGCCTCAGCCACCGGCTCCCGACCTTGAGACTCCAAGGTCGATCTATAGTGCGGGGTCGAACTATAATGCGGGGGTTATACTTTTCTGCGGGTCGATCTATAGTTCGGGCGCGCCGAAAATAGTTCGACCCGCCGTTTTGGGGCAAACGGGGCTTCAGCGCCCATGCTCGCGCTCGCCCCACTGGGAGGGGTCCAACATATATTTGAGCCGACAGCAATGAATGACAACGATACACACAGAAGCGTTCTTTTCAAAGCATGCGCACAATCGGCTGGCCGCAGAACTTAGAGATGCATGCCACCGAAAACGCTCTCATGGACCTCCTTTGGCCCCTCCTTCGGCCAAATGCAGCTACAGATCCACCGAAATCCTCATCCCTATAGTTCCAGTGCTTCGCTGGTTCACCGCCGCCCATGCACAGCTCCAGAAACATGTGCATTTTAGGCTTCACTTTAAAATGGGCAGGAAGCGCGTCTTGCAAAGCGGCCGTCTGCGTGGCAAACTTACTCGAATGCTCTCTAAGAATGTCCACAGCAAATGGGTGATTGTCAGAGAGTGCCTCGTAACACCGACATAAGCTTTTCATCCCTGCGTGAATGGACGATTCTACAGCTGCCCGCTCGTCGACGCCATTCCTCCTATCAAGGAAAGCCTCCGCCATCTCCAATGCCCATGGAACCATGTGCCTGAGCATCCCCGCGCCGCACCTCATCTTAGCCGTCGTTGCTTTTTTTCCTTTCACAACGCCCCGCGTCAGTCTCGATAGGCGGCTGGTCTTCTCACCTGGCGGCTGCCTGTCGTAGAACGCCATCAAATGACCATGTAGTGTGGAGACGCGGCCTTTCTGGGTAGTTCCAGCCACCTTTTTGTGCGTTACAAGATACCATAGCAAACCCCCTATGAAGTCAGCCGCTACTCCAAGATCAACAACGTGTAACCAATCTAGCTTCAGCAACTTTTCGTTCGCATACGGCACTTGGAAGAGAGGGCACACCTGCTCGCCTGAAACGATAATCTTCGCAAGGACTTCTGGCCATGTGCGTCGGTGCGTTCTCCACGGCGCGTCTCTCCCAGTCTGCGATTTCACCTGCGGGGAGTAGCCAAAAACACTCCTCCTCCTCCTCCTCCTCCTCCTCCACCCCTCCTCCCCCTCCTCCTCCACCCCCCCTGAAGGGGCCGCAAAACGACGACGACGCACCCCCTCCCAGAGGGGATTTCCTTCCTCCCCTGATGTGTTGCGCTCCCATGGCCTCGTCCTTCTTGATGTTGCACAGGAAGCATACTTCGTCATCTTGCCAGCCAGGTAGCTTGAGCACCTCCTTCATCATCTTCCAGTCCCCTTTGATCTGGCAAAGCACTCCGCCAATTGGTAGGGTTGCATCGGCCACTTGTCGGCGCTTCCTCCAGGCGTCCCTGCGCGCCGAAGGGAGAGCCGTCGTGCCGTGCCGCCGGCCAGCGCTTCGCAGCCAAGTGAACAAAGCTCCACTGCACCACTGCAAAAACATCATCAAATGTGTTGGGGCCCACGTGCTCTTTGAGGAACGCTGTGATTGGGACCCGCAGGTTTTTCCAGCGCCCCGCAGCCCCTGGCAACATGAGGCTGATGATCTCTGCGCTCATCGATCGGTCCCAAAAGCAAGGGACCCCGTCCTGCCACACGCCCAGGGCCACCAGGTCGTTGCAACCACTCTCCGCCCTGGCTCTTTGCACGTGGCGCAGAGACACGCCGTCGAGACTCGACGTCTCCAGTAGCACGCTCCGCTCGCCAAAATGATGAAGTTGATGAAGTATTTCGTGAGGAAGCATCATCGCTAAGTCCATCAGTTGTTCTGTTTCAGACTTGGGGTCCCAGCCCCTCACCTGGCAGTGATAGAGCGGAGGCCACCCTTTCCTGAAGAAATCCCGCCTG